TGCTTTGGGATTTCAATCTCTGCAACTCCATCATGTGCTTCACCAATATTCCCATCACCCACATCTAGTAGCCATCTTGAGAACTACTCTGACTTTGCTTTATCAGCCTCAGAAGAATATGAAGTTAATCTCATCTTTTTGGTCAAGTGGAAAATAATACAGTGTTTCCATCGACGTGATGAGCTAATACATGCATCAATAATACTACCTCTTATACCTTTTGGAATTATAGGAAATATTTGATGAAAGTCACTAGCCGTAACAATACATTTTTCACCAAAAACTTGATTGCTTTGCATTGTAGGAAGTAATTACACATTCGTCATATAGCATGCCTTCCATATCATTATTCCTAGAACCAAAAATTATTATTGACATGTTTATATGCTGGGTCAATATAAAAAATTCCTATTAAAGTTTTGGAAAGATCAAAATACTCAGTGTCTGTCAAAATCATCCTTAACTTGGTCTTTGTTTCATTGTCCCTGCAATATTCCTCTAACGTCCCAATGCGCTTAATAAAAGCAATGACATCTGCATGGGAATCAAAATTTTCATGTTTAGTTTGCGAAAAAACCTATTATATTACTACTTTGGCAATTGATACTAAAACAATTAATACACATTCATTCCAATATAAGCGATGACATCTACATAGGAATCAAAATTGTCATGTTTAAGATGCGAAAAAACCTATTATATTACTAACTTTGGCAATTGATACTAAAACAATTAATACACATTCATTCTAGTATACATTACCAATCGAAAAATAATAGGATGTTCATCATCAATCTTCAAGATGTCAAGAGTAGAAAAGCAAGAGTAAGAATAAACTAGAATCTTCCCAACTTGCTCAACCACCTATGTCTAGGGAGTGAAAGTTAACTTAAATTGATGATTGGTTGCTTTGCAAGAACTCCCATTAGCACTAACAACAAAGTTAGCAAAAAAGTAGGTTTTTCCTTCCTTCACGTCTTGCCTGAACCTCTCTTGGACAGATGTATTTAGCACACTTGCTTGTATTTTTCCCCCCTTATATTGAAAAGAAACAGTCAAATATGTATGAAACCATATGTACCCAAACATAGCATGAAAAACTGAAATATCATATACCTGCTCATCCAATAAAACCATTGATATACATAAAATATCGATAAAAGAATTCTTATAACAGACATTTCATATATGGAACACCCTTGCAACAATTTCCCACCTATCAATCCCATCATGCAAGTTCTTAAAAGAAACACATTTAGATATTTTGTGGTTAATGAGGAAGAATCAAGATACGGGGGGGAAGGCTCGGAGACTTCGGGTTTGAAGTGGAAATCGTTTAAACATGCGGTTATGAATGAGAATGAAGATAGCGAAGTAGAGGGAGATTGGTGGAGCGAAGGTCGATAGAAGGAAAGAATCTCTGTTGTAATGACAAAAAGGGGTCTAAACATTATTATACCCCTTGAGGAGAAGGAGAGGCTTGCGAAATGATGGAAGAATGCTTTAATCATGAAGTTAATAGGTAGAATGGTGAACCCTGACTATCTCGAAACTAAGGTGAAGCAGTTGTGGGTGAAACAAGGAGAGGTGGAAACGATCAATGTAGGCTCGGGTTTTTTCGTTGTGCAATTCACAAAAACACTGAACTATGATCTAGCCTTGACTGGGGGGCCTTGGTTACTCTATGACCACTATCTAGCGGTGCAACCTTGGAAGCAAGATTTTGAGCCAGATGAGGAACGGATTACAAAGGTTGCTACATGGATCAGGATTAACAAGCTATCATTAGATTATTATGATCAAGGTATATTGCATGTCTTAGGATCTCAGGTGGGAAAAGTGCTCAAGATGGATATGACTATGCTTAAGCGAAAGAAACGTCAGTTTGCACGGTTGTGTGTGGAACTGGATTTGAGTGCACCGCTTCGGTCGTTGATCCTTATAAATGGCAAGGCAAAGAGGGTGCAGTACGAAGGTATCCATCTGATTTGCTTTCAATACGGACGGTATGGGCATGATGAAGACCATTGCCCGCATAAACAACAGAACGTCACAAATGTGCAAAGCCAATGCTCAGGGGGGGAGATGGCCGAGGAGTTAGCGAAGATGGATGGGGGCCGGGGTGCCATGGAGGAAGGTTAGCAGGGTGAAAACCTATCAGAAGAGGTGGTAGGAAAGATCTACGACAATTGGATGGTGGTGTAGCGGCCGCGACGGCCGACGTGGTTCGCTTATCGGACGGTGACCCTTAATGAAGGTAGGCGGGATTCTAGGTTGCAAGGAGGGAGTGGTTCTCGCTTCCAGGCATTGAATATGGAGCAGAATAAGGGAGTTAATGGTGGATCCCAACAAGTTAGCGAGAAAAGTCTGCTCGGGAATATTTCGAATCTGGTTCCTAATATACCGTTTCAAAGACAGGGCTTAGAAAAGGGCTTGTCAGGTGGGCTGAATAAAGGGAAGATGAGTGGGCCAATGAGAAAGTCTATGGGAAACGGGATCAAAGCTAAAGAAGTGAATAACAAGGGAGAATGCAGTAATGGTAGGTCCAAGTCTCAAGAAGTGGAGTCGAGTGACATAGACACCCTCATGCAGGCAAAGGAGAGGTTGGGCTTGGAGAACGAAGCTGAGAGGGAGGGAGAGCAAGAGAATGGAATGGACCTACGTGTAAGAAAAATAATAGAAGGGGATTCTAGTGAATCAAGAAACAGAAACACTCAGACCCCAAAACCTGGCAGCACCGTAATGGTAGAAGACGTAGAAACAGCGGGGAACCCGATAGATCCTGGTGCAATGTAGGCGGGGAATTTCTTTGTTCACTCAAACCCGTTGTCGGCTGACCAAAGTGGTATAACTATGATGGACCTGGGTCATACCCAGGATGAGACTTTGCAGTAGTAGGGCTCTTTTTCTTTCCTTATGTTGTTTGTTATGATGAATACCAATATTATAGTGTGGAATTCGAGAGGTGTTGGAGGGAAGGCCTTTCCGAGGCTCCTCAACGAATTGCGCAGGAAGTATGATGTGAAGTTTATAGCTATACTAGAACCAAGGCAGGGGAGAGCAAAAGCAGAGTCTTTGGCACGCCAAATGGGTTTACTAAAGCTGGAAGTGGTAGATACAACGGGATTCAGTGGAGGGATATGGTGTTTTTGGGACAAAGAGGTAGATTTTACAGTGACCCAGAAGTCGTCACAAGTGTTACATGGCTCGTTCAATATAGGCAAAACAAGTGCTTGGGATCTTTCTATAGTCTATGGTCACTCGAATAGGATTAAGCGGTGCTCCCTTTGGGAAGAACTTCGGCACATATATGCTATTGGTGTTGGAAAATGGTGTGTGGCTGGAGATTTCAATGCCACGTTGCGGGGCAATGAACGAGTACCTATCAACAGAGGCCTGAATGGTGCTGACAAATCCTTTGTTGATTGGGTTCGAGGTTGTTATTTGAATGAAGTCGATTTCCAAGGTCCACGTTTCACGTGGAGCAGGGGGAATTCGTACAGCAGAATAGATCGCGTTCTTGCTAACTCTGAGTGGTTCGAGACCTTTACTGACACCTCGGTCTTGCACCTGCCCAAATTAAAATCTGACCACTGCCCTCTACTGGTAAAACTGAACAGACAACGTAGAAGTAGGGGCAAGACAAACCACTTTTGCTTCTTTGCCCCTTGGGTTACCCATGAGGGCTTTAATGATGTTGTGAGAAATGCCTGGAGAAGCTCCAATAGCTGGGAAGCTAACGCGGGAAACTTCAAAGAAGACGTGCTAGAGTAGAATCGCTCAGTGTTCGGAAATATTAATAGAAGGAAGGCAGAGTTACTAGCGAAACTAGATCGACTAAATAAGCAAGATGCTAGAAACACCCTTTTGGAGTGAAAACGACAGGAAACTTGGGAAGATTTGGAAAGATGTCTAATTCAGGAAGAGATTATGTGGCTTCAGCGTTCGAGATGCAACTGGTATGTGAATGGCGACAAGAATACACGATATTTCCATACAGTTGCTAATTATCAACGACGTAAAAAAACAATTGAGGCGCTGCAAGATGAGAATGGAAATTGGAGCTATGATCCAGACGTACTGAAGAGAGTAGGAACCAAATTCTTTCAGGAGTTGTACAAGGGTAAGGCTACGTACTCTAATTCTGTTAACTTCGGGAGATGCTTTCCTACTGTTTGGACTAGTTGCTTGGAAATGCTAGACTCAGATATTACTAGATAGCAAGTCAAACTGGCGGTGTTTAGTATGGGGGCACTGAAGGCTCCAGGACCAGACAGATTGAATCCGCTTTTTTCCAGAGTCAATGGGAAGTGGTAGGGAATACAGTTGTAGACATGGTTCGTGATATTTTTTCCAACCCGATAGAAGTGAAGAGAATAAACAGCACGAATATCGCTCTTATTCCTAAAGTGGATTCTCCATAGACGTTTAAGGACTTCCAGCCAATCAGCTTGTGTAATGTGGTGTATAAAGTGATTATTAAGATTCTTGCTAACAGACTAAAGAGAATTATGCCTGAAATTATAGCCCCAAACCAGTGTAGTTTCATACCCGGACGACAAAGTTCTGATAATATTATCTTGGCACAGGAAGTTATTCACTCTATGAGGAATTTGAAGCGGAAGAAAGGATTTATGGTGTTGAAAATTGACCTGGAGAAAGCTTATGACAGGATTCACTGGGACTTTGTGATCCAATGCTTGAGAGAGCTAAAGATCCCAGACAGATTTTTGAACATCGTCTATCATTGTATTACTTTAGCTGAAATGTAGATTGTTTGGAATGGGTCTAGGGGGTGTTCATTTACTCCAAGCTGCGGAATTAGACAAGGTGACCCCTTATCACCATATCTTTTTGTACTAGTGATGGAGAAACTCGCTCACCTGATCCAAACCGAAGTAGAACTCGGCAACTGGCTTCCTTTTAAACTGAATAAAAATGGCACAGAAATCTCTCATTTGTTTTTTGCGTATGATTTAATACTTTTTATGGAGGTAAGCATGGAGCAAGCCGGGGTTATTAAAGCCTGCTTAGATGACTTTTGCTCGGCAACAGGAGAAAAAGTAAGTGAGGCTAAGTCAAGAATTTTCTTTTCGTCAAACATGAACCACACGCGAAGGAATGAGATTAGTGGATTTCTCTGCTTTACTGCCACTGCAGATTTGGGGAAGTACTTGGGGTCCCCTTACATCACCAACGTGTCACTAAACAGACGTATCAATACGTGTTAAACAAAATGGATAGCAGATTGTCAAGCTGGAAGGTGAACGCTTTATCCATGGCAGCTAGGCATACTTTGGTTTCTTCAGCAGTGGTGGCAATTCCGTCATACACCATGTAATCAATGATGATGCCTGCTGGTGTTTTAGACAAAATTGACAAACGAGCTAGGAATTTCCTCTGGGGCAGTACAGGTTCGGCGAAAATAATTCATCTGGTCGCGTGGGATGATGTTTGCAGAAGTAAAGAAGAGGGAGGCCTTGGGCTTCGGAATGCAAGGAAGCAGAACAAGGCTTTCATGATGAAATTGGGATGGGGTTTGGTAAATCGAAGAGAGACTCTTTGGGTGAAGCTTATACGGGAGAAATACAAGTGCAGTAATGACATACTTCCAACAATTGGCAGGAAGAAGGTTGAGTCACAGGCTTGGAAAGGTGTTAGGCAAACGTGGGCTCTGACAGAAAAGGGTATTGGTTGGAAGCTTGGCGATGGTAGTAGGATTAGGTTTTGGGAGGATTGTTGGATCCCAAACCATGAGAAACTTTTGCAGTTTGCTATCCGGGAAGTCCCAGAGAGTATGCGAGAGGAGCTCGTCACTACCTACGTGTCCGATTCTGGTACTTGTGAGTGGCAGAAGTTTGCAGAATTTCTACCGAACACAATCTTGAACACCATAAACCAAACTTATCCCTATGTACACGGGGAGTCCTGTGATAGACCGGTCTGGAAAGGGTCGAGCAATGGAGAGTTCTTAGTTAAAGCTGCGTATAGTATGCTAAGTGGTGAGAGCTTCGTTTCGAACAAGGGGGTCTGGAGAAAGATATGGAAACTTCATGTGCCTTAGAGATGCAAGACTTTCTTATGGTTATGTGCTAGAGGACGGTTGCTGATGAACGGTGCCAGAATGGAGAGAGGAATGGTACATAGTAATAAGTGTGTTTTTTGCAAGAATGTAAAGGAAGATACTTTGCATGCTCTGAGAGACTGTAGCCTCACGTCACCATGCTGGGAGAGAACTGTGCCTAGACAGCTACGTGAGAAGTTTTTTCGTCTTGATGATCCTGTACGTTGGTTACTATAGAACCTGTCTCAAACTGAGAAGTACTCTGGGGTCACGTGGAGCACTTGGTTTAACATCTTGTATAGACACGTGTGGTTCAACAGCAATGAAGGAGTTTTCCAGGATAAGGCGATAGGGCCACAAGGGGTAATCTGCAAAGCGAGGGCACAAACAGTTTGGGCAGATGCGGGACTCTGTCAGCCGGATCTAGAGCAGTCTGGTTACATTCAATGTACTCTATGAATAGAGGAATACATAGAGTTGAACATAGTAAAATAAGAAATTGAAAGATTTCGTTGAAATTGTTCGTTTGGAAATTTCCTGAAAAGCTAATCATAGGTTCTTCTCTCTATCGGAACAATAGGGCCGTTATGCTCATTACTAAACTTGTTGAAGAGATAAAATATAACCAAGGTATATCTTTTTGATCAGAGGTTGAACCTTGTGTGGGCTGGATCAAGTTCAATGTAGATGGTGCCTGCTCATTAGCTGGGAACACGACAGCTTGTGGTGGTATTACGTGCAGGACTGATGGAAGTTTTGTGCATGGCTTCATGTTCCATATGAGAAGGGGTAGTAGTCTTCAAGCTGAGATTTGGAGAGTGGTTTGGGCCTTGAAAAGAGCTTGGGACCTGAGATGGCGTAAGGTTATTGTAGAAATGGATTGCTGGGAGATCACCGAACTCTTTGGGGCAGAATGGAACGAGGCACATCCAGAAGGGGAGTTACTCTCTAAGATACGGTCTTGGATGAGTCAAGATTGGGAGACAAGGATTGAGTGGTGTAGCCGTGATAAGAACACCTTCGCTGATACACTTGCGAAGGAAGCTTTGCAGATCGCTCCTGGTGCTGTGTTTTTTGATTCCCCCCTAGCTTCATTTTAGAGTCGGTTGCTTTAGAAGCCGGCACGTAGTGCACTAAGTTTGGGCTTATTCAATCAAAAAAGAAAAAAAAGAAAAAATAAGAGATTCTATGCGTGAAGCATAGCTCATTGATATATATATATATAGAGAGAGGAGGGAAGGTTGAAATTTGGAGGGAAATTTTGGTGAGCTTAGACCCCCAAAAAAAAAAAAGGCCAATTAGAAGCTAACATGTGCGGCAATTTCTCATATGTAGAGTAGTGTTGGCTATTACAAATAGCTAACGAAAAAAAAACAAATTGTAATGATGACAATTCAAAGCTAGGTAGGCCGCATGAGTTATGAATAGACTGGGATGAATCAATAAAAAAACAAATTGGGAATCAAGAATTCATGGTCAATGCATAGAAAAGCAGTTGTGCACTAAACATTAAACTTAGATACTGCCAATACTCATAAATACACAGCTAACTTAGAAAATATATGAAAGATGACTCACTAAACTTAGAATCAAGTAGGTTATTCAGTTCTATCCCCTAGAAAAAGGCAGAAACCAACTTGTTACAATCGAATTGGTTACAAACAAGATTTGTAAAAATGATCATGAGCTGAAAAATAAGAAGGACAATGCAAATGGTCAGACAAGATTATTGCATGTAATTTAATTCTGTTTTATACGTTGTCTAAGAGATGTAATAACATGTGTCATTCATAATGCAAAGGTCTATCACCATGGGTGTTATCTAATTTAGTTCTATGTACTTAGATGGTTATACCTCACAATATCTTTTTATGCAAAATTGGATAATTGATATATATCTTATCATGAGTTTTATATGATCTTAATAGTATTGATGATTAGTTAAGAGAATATTTGTAAGGCTTCATATCTAGAGTTATATTGGAACTTTCAAATTTCAGATTATAAAGGTTCACTAATTTATATTTCTTATTCTGAGTGAAAACCATCATTATGCCATTTATAGGTTTGAGGAAAATATTAGTTCACCAATTTTAAGATGATGTGATAGCCAAGATAGAAAAAGAATTTAAGAATGATTAAAAATGTTAGACATTAAGGACGAAATTAATAGGCATGATATGATAGCACCTCAACAAGGTCTTAAAGGGATGATGATACTACTTAAAAAAAAATATTATAAGGAAAACTCAAAACACTATACCCACCTCTGATGATGTGATGCCATCTCAGCAGGACATTAAAATGCATGCAAGCTTAGTAATAACATAAATATAGAGAATCCTATTCATTTAAATGTACAGAGTAAATGAATCCAATAAAGAAAAGAGAATCTTATCATGTCTATGAAAGAAATCAACTTTGCCCCTTAGAAAATATACCAATAAAAGATTAGATGGATTTGTACAGAGCAAGTATTAGAACATGGCAGTAACTATAACAGAGGAAAAGAATTGTTAACTTCACATGGGAATACCAATGAAACTTTGAATACACTTTCACATATGGACAACTAATAAGGACATACATAAAAAGAACAAACAGAATAATCCAAATAAATTCAAAGCCTACTACTGCATTTCAGTCAATGACCTTACTTTAAAACAGTAGACAATATATGACTGATTCATGTAAGAGGTAACATGCAAAAGGTTTTTCCTGAAGACATGAAATATAAAGCATCATAGTAGATTCCTTAAAAATTAAGTCATGTCTAGGTATTTGACAAATCTTTTTGGCTTCTGAAAGGTAAACCATAAAGGTAAAATGAAGATAAGTCATTTCACAAATAAGGCAAACTAAACATGCAACCGATGAAAAGTCTGTCAATCCTCTTGCTTAACTAATTGCTCGGTTGACCTATATTCATATCTTTATATTAGCAGAACCACTTTTGTATAAAGCACCTTCAACATATATTCGAGTATATATAATAAAAGACATGACAGCATATTCTTTTTATAAATTTCCATTTTAAGGTATTTTATAGAAAGTTGATATTGTTGAAAAGTTAAGCACAAAAGCACATGAAAGTTGATCAAACCCTCTTCTATTTGAGGTATCATTGTTCCCAGTATTGCATGGTCTCCAACTCTTTTCACTATTAAGGAAAAATTCAAAGGTAAATGGTAAAAAGCCTAAATATAATTGTAAAAATAAATTTGCATCGTGTCAAATCATGTAAAAGCATATCATTAAAAAAAAAAATATTATACTGAACCTTTTACTTTTTACCAAGTTGGAGACACACCATACCACATATAAAGCAACGGAGACAAATTAATTTTCAGTTTGACTAAAAACCACAACCAAAATTTAGAACCTGTTTTAGGCTTGTCCTGTTCTATTCTAAATATATGAACCAAATAGGGGAAAAAATACTTTTCAAGAAAAACTTGCCTTTGACACACTTCCCTCCATATCCTCAAACTTCCTTTAAAAGAGTAACTTTCCCATCTACATCCATGCAATTTCATTCTCACAAGATAACACAAAATAAAACCATGAGCCACCTACATCACTTTTTTGAGCCATCCTTCGTCACTTTCATTTGTTACTGGATAAACTTTGGATTCCACACCATCAGTATAAGGTGTGGTCCTATAAAGATCATTTGGTAGGTCCATATGGAGTCTAAAGTCGCTGATCTATCCTTTTATGGACCCTTCAACATCATTTACTACATGAAGATGGTAAATTACTATATGATACATTATCTACTAACAAGTGAATGCAGACCTGTCTAACCCAGTTCCTACACTTGGGATGAGGGCAGGTATTACTTATTCTACTGTTTCTATGCACTGATGAAAATTGAAGGATTCTTGGCTTCAAATTGGGACGCAAGCCATGATAGCAGATTCAACAAACCACTATATGGAACTGATTGAGACATATACTCCTTATATAAGAGTGAAATTCCTGTGCAACCAAAACCAACCTCTGTTAATCCAGGATCTATCAATGGCAACCTATATGAAGGTGTTGCCTGTCAGGCCTAGAAGCGTTCAACACCACCATACTTCAATCAAGAATCGGTCGCCATCAAGGGCAGCAAAACTAATCATCAAGGAAGTCGAGGAACCAAAGACTTCAAATGTATTGACGTCTGCTTCCGAGACAGAAACAAAGTTGGGTTTTGTTAATGAATAATTTAAGTTCATCTTTCTTAGGTTTTTAGGTTCAGTTCTTTATCTATGTCAATGTTTCCATCGTCAGTCCATTTCTTTCGTTGCCTGTCACAACAGAAAAGGCTGGGCATCATTAATCTAGAGTTACTATAACTAAACAACTCATATGGGCCGAAAACTATCAATCAAGAGCTATGGGCCTTATTTTGTATTTGATAGTAGCATATTAGGCTTATGTTTGGAACTTTTTTTTTTGTGGAAAATGACATAAACATGCCTATTGAATTTTTTTTTAAAAAAAAAGATCAAACTAACTACTCTTGTAATAATTTTGACTACTTTTATGATAGTTTTGATGTGTCAAAATCTACTAAAATCACCTATATGTCATTTTGAAACTCATGAGGCATATTTTTGTCATTCTACTTTTTTTTTTTTATTTGCCCACACCAACGTGATTTTAAATATATGGTCATATATTGAATTACAAAATAGCTCATGTATTCATGGTGAAAATTGAACAGCATACATGATAAATAGAAAATAATGAAGATGATATATTAAAGTTAAAATACTCAAGTATTATATTTAATTAATTGCGTAATATTTATATTACACTTACATCACATATCTCTCATAATATTTACAGCACAGTTGTTATCATAAAATATTTATTACATATCTTCAATAAAAGTTATTACATTTCATGCTAAAATAAATGGAAACAGCAATTACGAGAGATCTTCTCTTCTAAGAAGATTCACCTGCAAACAAAATGTTATCCTCAAAACAAAAATTGAAATAGTTTATAATCTTACTTGGCTTATTTTATCTAACCTCTGAGCATCCAGGGCACTTTAATTGTTGCACATATATCCAGTCAATGGATTCCACAATATTATAACATAGGTAGACAAAAACATACAGTTCCCACCATCCACCTAAGCTACATGTCCATTAAAACATAACACATCATCATAGAAACATGTAGTTGCCACCATCCACATAACCAACATAACAACATAAACTACATACCTAGATTAATATAAGACAACATTATACATAATATAAGTGGTTCCTCTACAAGTTAGGATTTTGCTTTATCATGAAGACCACTACACAGAGCCATACATAATAGAACATCAAGGGGGTTCAAGGTGAGGGCTGAGACATGGGTGCTATCATGAGATTCTAAATGCTTTGAACCTCTGGATCGGATGGGTTAAAGAACATCCTTGTAGCATCAAATAAAGAGTAAATAATAGGTGCATCTATGCAACAAAATATATATCTATGTTAGATCAATATAATCACAACCACTATAAAGAAAAGAACATAAAATCTTGACTATTTCTTAACTGGTTGTTTGCACTAGAGAACTTATAACATACTGAATCACCACAAACACATAATCAATACTCTTTAAATTTTGGTAAACTCGCAGTGTTGCCTTAGCCACTTCACCATGGATCTTGCATATAACCTACTTTACTCCCCTATTAATGAAGAAAGATATAGCTTAGAATAAACCATATAATTAAAAAGTAGTGTTCATGAAAAAAATAAAAAACACTAGTCGGTTTTGCCATCCGGCATTTGTGTTATTCCCCTCAAGAATCAAAGTCAGCTCTTTTATGTATGAGCCCCTGAGCTTCACCATAGTTGGCCCAAAAGCACAACATAACCACTACCAGAAAAAAGGCTTTTCACGGCAGTTAAAAGTGGCTTTTCACGGCGGTTTTGAAGGTGAAATTGATAAAGGCGATGTTGAAAGGTAAAGAAAACATGGTGGTTTTGAACCGCCGTGGAAGGTGATTTTCCACGGCGGTAAATCAATTTTCCACGGCGGTTAAAATAAAAACCGCCGTTGAAATTTGACTTTCAACGGTGGTTTATAAATAAACCGCCGT